TGCAAAGAAGTTAAAAATATTGTCAATTAATTAAATTATTAATTGATTTATTTCCTAATGAGTGATGTGAATTTTAGTAAATAAATAGTTCAAATACCATTTTTGTATAAAATAAATATTATAATTCTATCTTTATATGTGAAAATAAATTAAAAATAATAATTAAATAATTACTTATCTTTCAAGAAGAGCTCAAATTCACCTACATAAAAGGAGCTTCCTCTTACTCACTGAGCGTGACAATGGAATGATTGAAGAAAGGATTCCCCGATGAGGTAGGTTCCTTTATTTTTTTGTTACTAGTTTTTATTTATATTTTAAAATCTTTAATATTAAAATTATTATAATTTATATAATGCATAATAATATATTAAAAATTTAAAATTAATTAATAAATATTATTAAATTATGATTTTAGAAAATTTAATTAATTTAATAATAATTTTAATTTATTTAATTAGATATATTTATATTTCAAAGAATTATATGTGAATTTTTATAATTTTATTAGTTTTAAATTTAAAATTATGAATCTAAATTACTTAATTTATGAAAAAGAATTGATTTGAGATTAATTATTATTTTATAATATCTTAAAATTTTAAAAATATTAAAAATATAATTTAATAAGAGAAGTTAAATTAGGATCTAACTTGAGTTAAATTAATTGACTAAATTAGCCCATATGATCAAGTATGATCGAACCTGTGTAGCAAATCATGACCCAATCAATATAGCCAAATATGATCTAGCACATGTGATCAAGTAGAACTTAGCCCATGTGGTTAGGTATTGTTTAGCTCATATAGTTATTAGACATAATCAAGTCCATGTAGCAGATATGACTCAGTCCATGTGATCATATACGATCTAGCATATATGGTTAGGTAGAAACCACCCATGCGACCAAGTATTATCCATCCTGTGTGGTTAGGTATGACTTAGCTTAGTGGTCAAATAAAACCTAGCCAATGTGGTCAAATATTATCTAGTTCATGTGGCTACGCATGACTTATCCTATATGACCAAGTACAGCTTAGCCCATATGGCTAGGTATAACTTAGCCCATATGGTAAAGTATGGTTTAACACATGTGGTCAGGTAAAATTCAGCCTATGTGCCCAAGTATTATTAAATCTATATGGTTAGATATGGCATAGCACATATAGTCAAGTATGATACAACCTATGTGGCCAAGTCTAATCCAACCTATATGACCAAGTAAAACTTAACCCATGTAGCTAAGTATAATTCAATCCACGTGGTTAGGCATGACCTAGCCCATGTGGTCAAGTATGACTCAACCCATATGACTAAGCATGATCGAACCGATGTAGCTATGTATGACGTGACCATACGACCAAACATGACCCAACTTATGTGACTAACTATGACTCAATCTATGTGGTTAGACATGGCCTAACTCATATGGCTAGGTATGACCCAACTTATGACCAAGCGTGACCTAGTTCGATGGTAAGACTTAGCTGAACTCATGAGAGAGGCTTAGCCCAGCTCGCGAAGTTAGGCCCACCCAACTATGTGGTTGGCGCTAAACACATTATCACCCCTCTATCCAGCTTGTTGTATCTTAGCTGAACCTGTTTCTTGAGACAGATATGTGTGACGTGCATAACCTGTCCATGGCTCAAATGGGTCGGTTCGATTTGGGATAGCGCTATATGATATAATCTGATTCCTCTCCTTTTATTGGTTTGAGCTCATTAGTTAAATCAAATAGGTTTGATCGGTTCAGGCCGATTCAAGTTGATTCCAAACCAACTTGATTAGTTCAAGCTCACATAACATAATTGAAATTGATCAAATCTAAATTAGATCGGTCTAAAGTGATTACAAATTGGTTCTATTAGATTCTAATTGAATTAAATTTGATTCAAATTAATTAGACTATTCTAATTTGGGTTCTGATTCATTAAGGATTATTAAGAGATTGATGTCTCATTCCTTTATGATTTAATAAATTTAAAACTTTTATTTGAAATATTTTTTTATTTTATTAAATTGATGATATTGATGTGATTATTATTATGTATTGTATGTGAATATGTTAAGTGGTCCACATTAGATGTACAACCTATAAAAGGAGCTGCATAGTGCGAGCTCACCGATGGATAGTATTTATTAATCATACATTTTGATGTATAATCCCTTATAATATTTTATCATACTCAATGTATATATAAATGAATGAATATAAATAAATAATCATGATTAACCATGTATCCTTACTTAGAGCAGATATAGCAATTCCCTTCGAGGATTAGCAAGCTGTTAGACATGATGATTAGATAGTTCCTTCGTTCGTAATTGGGAGGAATGTGTCTCAACTTATACTGGCGAGGGATACAACTTCATATATTATTAGAAATATAATATGGATACTCTCTATTCACTATTGAGAAAAATAGTAGAATATTTCTCTCTCTTCATTGTTTGAAAAGTATGTCATCCGGCGTAATATATATCTTTGTTATCTGAATATTATATACCTTATCGAGATATGATTTATGATTTTATTTATTACATAACAATTATCATTGCTTTGTCAATATATAAGTTTCATAATAAATTAATATATTATTATTTTATATTAAATTATTGATATATATATTTCATAAGTTCTATTGAAAATTAATTTTATTGTTCAATAATTTCTGCTAGCATGTGAAGTTGTTGGTGCATTTATATTCTATATTTATTTTTATAATAATCTACTACCTTGTAATATATCTGGGTGGAGGAGACTTTTTCATTACTTGCTGCTCTATATTGAGAAGATACGATTTTTTTAATAAAAAAATATTTAGTATACTAAACATAAAAAATTTAAATTCAAAAATAAATAAAATCTTCTGTAAATTATGAATTATTAAATGGTAATTTATTTTTTTTATAAATCGGGAATGTGACTCTTATCTTTAAGCCGTTTTTAGTAGGATCAAAAGGATTAATGTAACTGTTACAATAATTTGTTTCTCTATGTATGCTCGTCACTTATTAATTTGCCTTTCTACTAGAGCAACATAAATTACTCAGGCCGTGTAAACAAGAAGTATAGAACACATGCAAACACAACACACATATACAAACTACGTCCAATTACATACATACATGTTAAAACTGACTTAGTTGCATTGAACCAAATACATCAAGCAACTAAATGCACGTTAGTATGCCTAACTCTAGTCCATGATTGAAATATATTTATTTATACATGAACAAAATCTTAATTAATTAAACTTATATTGGTCATATGTAAACATGTTATTTCTCTCTTATATCATCCACATTTGTTAGTATAAGAACATATGACAACTATACATGGCTGGAAACTTGTGGCATAATTAATTTCACAGAATTTGCAGTTGTCTTTATTTATTTTTTCTCTAAAAGGTGAAGTCTAAGATAGTTTTTAAGCTCTGAATTGAATAACTTGGATAAAATTCATCAACTGAAGTTTGGCATGAAGAGAACTGATATTACATTGGTGAGACTTTAACCATTCTTTCTGTTTCTTCTTTATCACCCATCATCTCTCTTTTTTCTTTTTTGGTCTTCTATCATCCAACTCCTCCCTCTCCCATTATCTTCTCACTTCTCTGTTGAATTCTCTTAACTTACTGCCAATTCCAAGAATGAATCTCTTATCCTAATAGAGATGAGACTAGGGTGAAAAATGGATTGGATGCAAGTTGAATATTACCAAAACACTACTTGAATATATTTTCAATTAGTTGATTTACGTACAGAAATAAATTTTATAAAACCATGGAACAAAGATAATTCTGAAAATTCTTCCATAAATTTTATCGAACGGTGTAAAACTTTGACTGAATTTGATGTATATCGGAAGTGGACAATGATTTGAATTGTCAATGTTTGATTATTAATTTGGGCTCCATCATTTTCAGTCAATGGTTCAGCCTGACCAAAATTATGAATCAATTATTATATTAGATCAGGCAGATTGAATTTATTCATATATATCGAAATATAATTATTATGACCCGAGCCTGATGGGCTAACTAGCCTAACCTATCAACTTCGTTTAGTCTAAACGACAAAAATGCTTAAGCGCATGTGAGGCATAGCCCAATGGTGGCTCCGTCCTCTGACTCCGTTTACGGGTAGCCTTTTCCTACTCAAGCCCCACCCGAGCTTGATGGGCTAACTAACTAGCCTATCAACTTCGTTTGGTCTAAACTACTGACCAAAATGCTTAAGCTGAAATTGATAATAGTACACTCATCAGACTCTTATAAGTCAATCTTAATCCTGTCCACTTTTGACGTGGGACTAATCAGGGGTGTTACAATAATAGGCTAATTATCATCAACAGACCCTATTAAGATAACCTTTGATTAATCGTAATACACACATCATCCTTATAAATTAATATAAGTTTTAGTTGACTTTCAATCTAAATTGGGGTGTTATACTAATATCAAAATCTTTGAAAACCGTACTTATAATGGTCAAATTGATCAAAAGATAAATGGGATGATATGAATGATGACCAAGTTTATTGGATAAAATTTATGCTTACGGATTGTTCTTGTTCTAGATGTATTTAGATATATTGAAGTAGAACAAGAATAAGAATTAACCTGCTGTGAAGAGGAGCAGAAATAATAGAAGTGTAATGATAGGAATATTAGACAAGTACAGATGAGATGTGAAAAGAATAAAAACGGAGATATTATTTGAGAAAAAATAAAAATCTACATTTTATTATGAGAATGATTAACGTCTTTTTAATATGTTTCCGTTAGACATGTTGTCTAATTCAACAGTTGACGGGAACATTATCCATTTTAGTTTTTATATATACCTTCGTATCCAATCACCCAATTTTAACCTCTCCATCGTTCATATTACATTTGGACACAGAAAATTTCAACTCAAATACGTGGGCCCTACCGCGTACGCGTACAAAAGAATATATTCACTGAGCGATAGCCTGTCCGAACTAAGACACGAGTCTCGGCTGAAGCAAGCTTTGTTCTTCCACTACCTAAAAGGCGAGATAACCCACCACCCCCTGCACTGTACCAAAGCTCGTCACCTCGACCATCACCACCGCCACCAAGGCCACTACAATGAGTGGATTCCACCCATTCGATCTGCTTGACCCCATCCCCCCTACCCTCTCTTACCTCGAATCCTCCCTCTTCACCTTCCCTCCCCGCTTGTCACAGGCGCCGGCGCTGGTGGAGGAGCTCGACCACTATCACTACCTAGGGTTCACTCTGGACCCACTAAACCCCACGTCGTTGCCACCGTTCGGTTTCCCGCCCCAATGCCTCCTTCGCGCTCCTTCGATCGCGCGCCTCGACCTCCTCGCCGTGAATGATCCCTTTGGCTTCGAGCGCTCCGCCATCGCCTCATTCAAAAGGCTTCGACAGCGGGCGGAGACGGAGCTCTGCTTCCGGGACCTTAGCGATCGTGTCGCCTCGCTGGAGTTTGGGCTTGGACGGGCCCGAAGCCAGGATGTCGACCGCAAGTACACGTGGACGGCGGAGTTCAGCGGGCCTAAAGGGCTCGGGCTCGACCGAAAGCACAGGTGGACGGCCACGGCCAAGGCGGGCGGAGAGAGGGGGGTGAAGTGTGCGGTGGAGATCAAGGGCGTGGAGGAGGAGGAGGAGGAGGGGTTCGATCGGAAGTTCGTGTGGGCGACGGAGGCGAAAGGGGTAGGCAAGAGGTACGAGAAGTGGACGGCGGAGTTCAAGGGGAAGGGAAAGTTCTCGCCGCTCAGCCGCACGTACACGTGGGCCGCGTCGGCAAAGCCTCGTGAGGAGGAGGAAGGTCAGGAGAAGGCGGCAGTGAACAAGGAGAAGAAGAAGAAGGGGAAAAAAGAGAAGCAAGGAACCGTCCATGTGGTGGAGATCGAAGTGAAGAATCCTGGAGCCGTTGCCATCAGAAAGGTTTTCGTGAACTCATTTTCATTGACCATTTTCAAAATTAAATTTTTTGGATGAGGTTTGGTGGTCTTCTTGTATGCATATATCTCAAAATTTTATGAGTGACCATTTTTCGAAATTAAATTTTTTGGATGAGGTTTGGTGGTCTTCTTATATACATATATCTCAAAATTTTATAACAGACTATGCAAACTAACATTTCTCCTCTTCATTTGGACCATTTGTAAAGTATGAAATGAAATTGGTAGACTAATCTTTTTCACAATTTAGATTTTTTAAGCATTAAGTGATATTCATACCAAAACCCTTTTTTTTCCCTTACCTATAACAATGCTTAGTTAAAGTTCAACTTGCATTAGGGTGTTTTTCATCTTTGTATGACAACTTATGATCTTCAGATGATTTTTTTATATTTTATAATACCTTTATTACGAATCTGGAGTTGTGTTTTAGTAGCTTCCATATGAACAATGAGATTTTTTGTATCCGTTTGGTAGTTTCGTGGGTTGGCTGGTTTTTATATCTGTATTCTACTTGATCTATGAGAGTCTTGTATGGTTTGTTAGTATAGTTGTTGACGACTTGGTGTTGATACCATTTGAACTTTGTGGATGTTGAAAGGCTTTTACCAAGAGATGCAATAAGGGAAAGAAGAAGGAACTATCACCACAAGACGCTGCATTATTAATCCAAATGACTTTTAGGTCTCACTTGGCCCGCCGATCTCAGATTCTTCGCTGCCTTCGAGAGCTGGCTGTGGCCAAAGCCAGATTGAAGGAGATCAGGGCTATATTCTATAATTTCTCTTACCGTAGACGTGTAGCAAATGATGCAGAAGAACGCCAAAGATTCTCTGAGAAAATTATTGTTCTTCTCTTGACTGTAGAAGCTGTTGAGGTAATTTATAATGATGACAAAAGCTGTATAATTTTTTCATGGCTATCTCATGGCACATGTTATTAAAATAAACTTTACTTTTCAACTTTAATTTTCATTTCAGACTTTTATATTGTTGATCCTTAATGCTTCAAGATGATTTATTTACATTTGAAGTGTTGATATGTTGATTCTCATGCCATGTGTCTTTTCTTCTGCACCCTATGTTTTTTGTCTAGTTATAGGAGTAGGGAAATATTATGGCTTTGACCCATGAAAATTTACTAATAATCTTTGAGCTGATGTTTGCCCTTCCCATTTCAGTTGTTTGTGTAAGCATAAAATTATCATTATGCTTTATACGAAAAAACTTTGATGTCAAAATTGAAATAAAATAATGATAAATCAAGATTAAGCTTACGTACTTTTAGATGATGTCACGATCAATGAAATATCTTTGTTGGATTTGATAACTTACCATAGTCCGTATGAAGCAATAGAAATATTGATCTGCAAAACTTAGATTCATCTTTTCCTCTCTTCTTATCTTTCACAAGACCACGATCAATGATGAAGTAGGGACTATTAGGAGAAGAGAATAAATCCATAATTTTTATTTATGTATTATCCCTAGGAGGTCCTATCTATATATAGGCAAGAGTAGAGGGTTTAGGATAATAATTTAGGTGAGTCTCTTCCATCAAAGTCATTTCTTAGTGAGTCTTACTAAAGTGGACTTTCGTTTTATTAATCGATAACCATAATCAAAATCCAATAAAAACATTAATATATCTTATCCAATTAAGTAAGATCATATAATCTAACATTCTCTTACTTGGCCTATTAATTGGTAAGATATAAAACAAAAGTTTAAAAATCATAATAAAATAAAAATTTATTTAAAAATAAATTTATCAAATTAGATTCTGAAATTTTAAAAAATATTTTACACATGCATACGAATTTTATAAAATAGGCCAATAAGTCTACTAAATACAATAATAGTACATTAAATCTAACTACCAATGCGAGTTATAACAGTTGTATGTCATCAATATCATACTCTCTTATATATCACAATATTGTTAGTCTTTCCAAATGTAATCTAAAATGACTATTATAATTTATCTTATCAACACAATTTTGTCATCAGATTCAAACATAATATGCATATACATAAAATTAGATAGGATAACAGAAACAAATAACTTTAATTTTAATAATAATGTCCAATCACCATATCTTTTATGGGTTGTTTACAAATCCAATCATAAGAATATGTTCTTTTAATTCTTTAGATTGTAAGGCCGCAATAAATGGATCGATAATCACAATAGTGGGACTCAAGTTCTTAATTGATATTAGTTGTCTCCGGACTCCTCTAACTACCAAATATTTCATGTTAATATGTTTAGAACCGCTATAATACTTATTATTCTTAGAGAAGAAAATTAATGTGATATGTTATAAAATATCTTCAACGACTTGATAATTGAGTCTGACTACACCAAGTCTTGTGATAAAATTTCGTAATCATAAAGCTTGATTAGCAGTTTCAAAACAAGCCACAAAATCAGCTTTTATTATCGATAATATAATAATATATTATTTTATATTTTTCTTTGTAAATTATTCATTCAACTAATATAAATCGTAAAGTGGACTTCCTACTATCGAGGCAATTTATAGAATCAACATTTGAATATATTATCATTTCAAACTAATCTAATCTCTTATATGTGAGTATATAATTTTTCGTCCCTTGTAGATATCTTATTATTTTCTTCGCAGCTTTTCAATATTTTATTCTTGGATAACTCTAATATTTATTTAGTATTTTAACTGAAAAATTAATATATAGTGTAGTATAGGCTTGAGCAATCATGTATGCATATGAAATATTTTTCTTCCATTTGATTTTTTTCCAAGTCATTTTAAAAACACTAGTTTTGATTGAAATTTTACTTTTATATTTACTAAACAAAGCTGTATACTAAATCTCTTCATGACTCGATCAATATATCCTTTGTGAGATAGTTTTAACAATAATTGAGATATATCTTTAACGATCTCTATACCAATAACATAAGTTGTCTTAATCATATCAACTATCTTAAAGTTCTTGATGAGAAATTTTTTGATTTCGTATAATAAATCACGTTCACTACTAACAAATAAAATATTATCCATATACAAGACCAAGTAGCTCTCACTAACATTCAAATATAAATATTTGTCAATAGTATTTTTCTTGAATTTGAAGGAATTAATGGTATTATAAAACTTTATATACCATTTTGTGGGAGTTTATCAATGTTATTTTCTTGTTCTCTTATATCAAATCATCTAGTGATTTGAGGAATAACTTCTCGAATTGAAGATGATAAAGGAGTATCAACTTATATCTCCTCAATATCAAGATCAAACTTTGAGATTTTTCGCTCCTACTTATTCGTCATTTTCTAGTATTCTTGTATTACCAGATTCAACTAAATGATTTGATATCCCTTGGATTCTTTAGATAATCAATGAAATATCTAAAATTAGTTTTTGTATCCAGTTTCTTTTTATATGGATTGAAGACTCTTATCTCTATTGGATAATCTTAAACATGTAAATGTCTCGAGTTAAGTTTTCTATTAATCCATAACTCAAATGGAGTTAATTGAATTGACTTACCAGGAACCCTATTCAAGATATACATAGCTGTTCTTAGAGCTTCACCCCATATTAATTCAGGTATAGAGGAATAATATATCATATTTCTAATCATATTCGTAAGAGTACGATTTCGTCCATTAGCAATCCATTCTAATCTGGCACACTTGGGTAGGCATACTAAGCACAAATATCTCACTTTTCTAGGAATCTAATAAAAGGGTTTGGGTTTTGACCAATCTTATAAAAGGGTTGGGGTTTTGACCTAACTCATCATATTATTATAAAATTTATCACACCTATTAGATCTGATAATTTAAACCTTTCTATCTAATTGTCTCTTGACTTAATTTATATACACCTAAAGGTGTTAATAGATTTAGACCCTATATGAATTAGATATACATAGTTTTATCTCAATAGGTTATCTATAAAGGTGATGAAATATCTCTCTACACTAAAACAGAGAACATTGAGTGACTCACAAATATAAGCATATATAATTTAAAGGAGTTTTATGAAACTATATTACATTCCAACATTAGATTGTAGGATCATTGTGAACCTAAGATTTACATTTATTTTGTACAAACTATCATACATAATTTAAAAGCTAATTTTTATTGAATCATAAATATACTAAGTTTACAATCACTAAAAGGAAAATGATATCTTAACAATTTTAGATAAAGATATCAAATTTATTAAATTATAGGAACATAGCATATATTCTCAAATCCAATCAAACGAATTGTCTTTAAATGTAAGCAATAAACACTAACTACTATCATTTTCACTTTATGATGATTCTATGTAATGATGAGTTTTTTACGCTCTGTTGGTTTCTATATTAAAATGAATCCCTATACATTATTAGTAACATAAGTTGAAGCATCAAGATCAATCTACCAAATTTTAGAAAGAGATTTTTATAATATTTGATTTGAAACATATAAAGGTTCAGCTTATACATTTTCCTTTCGAACTAAACCTTATAGTCCTTCTTCACATGATTTTTTTTGCTATAGAAATAACATTTTACTATGAATATTTTTCTTTTATGAGTTTATATAGCATTTATAAACTCAAATAATTTATTTAATAAATTATACTTAAACTTTCTTTTATTGTTACCTACTTCTTGAGTAAACTATAATATCATGGAACCTTTCTTGTTGTAATTTTGATTCTCTAAACACAAATACTAGCCAACTCATTTAAGTTTTATTTATCCTTAATTTTATTATAATATACTTTAAATAAGCTAAACTAATGAGAAATAAGATTAACGATAAATTACACGAGAAAAGATTCAACTACATTCATACCCATTATTCTTGAGCTTTACAGTCTTGTCAGTCATATTGAGGATATAATCTTGAATTCCTCGAATACCGTCATACTAAGTTTTAATCAGTTCTTTCATTAAGATATCAACTAATGATTTATTAACAAATTTAAATCGATCTTTAATTATTTAAATATGCTAGTTGTAGATTGTAATGAAGCTTAAACATTATTAGTAATTATCATAAAACTAATTTTTTTAGACATTTTTCAATCATTTATTTATATTATTTGTCTCACAGAACTTTTAGCAGTTAAGTTTATGATTTTTTAACTAGTCTGATCAAGGTCTAACATAGTGTCAATTGCATATACTCGTAACAAATAAAAAATAAATGAACATTAATACTTTAATTTTTAAATAAATATTGAACTATCGATATTATCTCTATTTCACCTTTGGGTAAAATATTAACATATTTAGTATGCATATATAATTTTATAATTATAGAGATTAGTATCATTCTTGTGAAATAGTATCGTTATTTTTTAGTATATACTCATAAACTATAAGGATATTCAAAATAGTATTATCATATCTTATCACGTAATTATTCGAAATCAATTTTCCTTTATAATTATTTAAATCTCCTAATTTCTTTTGGGATTTTCATTTAAGACTAATTTTTTAATGTAATTTTATAAATTTATTAGTCTAAGCTAATTTAATGGTTACAAGACTAATACAATAATATAAAATATATTTTAAATATCTCATAAATTATAAAATATTTATTATAATTTTACCCATAAGCCTGTTATCCTAAACCACTTTAGCGATTACAAGTCAGATAAAATTTAGGGATATAAGTTACAAATAATATTCACTAAATATATTTTTTGATCTAATTTGCAGTACTAGTCAATAAAAATAATTGTAATAGTTATTGAACAGAAAATTTAATCAACACAAAAACTCATATGACGATAATAATCATGATAAAATAAAAATCATGTCTTTATACGAAAATAAATATTATTTTATAGTTTAAAATATATGCATGTGAATAACTACA